GTATAAAATGTATATACTTTGTTAAAAATTTCTTACTGAGCTTTATGCTCACCCTATGGGATTTTTGTGCAAGAAAAGATGTGGTGATGCCGCCTAACTAAAGGCGAGGAAATGTGTGTTGAGAGTACGAGACTCTCATTTTGCTGTGACTCTGTGTGTTAGCCAAGGGCTGTATGTGTGTGGGTTTGAATAACCGTTTTGTGTAAACAGGCTCAAGCTTGGAAACTTGTAAACCCTTGGGGGTATTTATTTGTTTATTTACTTGTTGTTGGATTAAGGTATTGTTGCATAAAGACCTATTGTATCATGTAATGTAAGTTTGGAGATTTATATTCAGTTTTCTTTGAAAGAGTCATGATTGTTGTATTATCATTTGGGCTAGAAATTTGGAGCGTTACATTAATATAAATTGCTTCATCTTTTAGTTTTTACTAGCTGAAGGGCTTTTTCTTAGTTTCTTTTCTGTATTTTTTTTAGGGTAAATTACAAATACAACCTTTGAGATTTGCTTAAGATACGAATTTTCCCCTAAGGCTTAGAAAATTACAAATACCCCCTTATCAAAATTTATTATTTAACATAATTAACAAAAAAATAAACAAAATTCATAACTGTTCTCCTATGCAATGATAAAATTATCTGAATTATTAATTGAAATAGATTTTTAACATCTTTGAAAATTGTTAATTAACTTGATGGTTTATTAATAAAAGGGTCATTTGTTATGAAATTATAAACTTCAAGGGGCGAATGTAATTTTTGAAATTACAGAAACAATTCATATTATAAGCAAATCTCAAGAGACGTATTTATAATTTACCCTACAATTAAATTATACCAAAAAAGCTAAAACTTAAATATTGAACTATTTTAAACTTTTCATGTGAGACAAACTTAACTCATGAGACAACCCACCTCTTTTTCAAGTGTTATTTAATATTAGAATTTGTTGGAAAAAATGGTTTGATGGTGAATTTAATATGAAATTAAAGTAGGTCTCAACCATTGGTTGATATGAGATTAAATGGACTTAGATTCTTTGTAACAAGGTCTTTACACCACAAAAAGAATGACCAAAAATCATTGAGAATTGAATGAGAAATTGTCTCATAAAGATGACCTCATGAATGAGATTTTGGGAATTATGTATAACTACTAATCCTACATTGATTGTAAAGGAAAGCCTTGATGGGTATTTAAATATCAAAATTTTGATAAGGATATGAGCCCTTTGGGACATTCAAATTTTCCGAAGGAAGGGAGTTATGGATGCATCAAGGATGGGCTTGGATGAAAACTAAGTCATCCCAAACATACTAGTTTTTTTTAGCTCATATTTTAGCCAAATAGCCAAAAAGTTACTAAATTAGCCTATTCCCAAACGAGGCCTAAGTTATTTATTAATAAGAGAATGAAAATGCTTTTGCCTATGAAAGTTTTCTTCATTGACTCATGGTGTTGTGGCGAACATGCAAGTTGTGTTTGGATTTGAGATTTTTGGATGAAAAAAAAGGTAAGAATTTGTGAAAAATTTGACTTTTATTTCATTCACTTATCTTTTCTCTCCACCAATATCGAAACGTGGAGTAGGAGTTTGTTCTTTATAGTGTTTACTCTCTTCATACTGTTATGTTGTGCAAATTTAAGTTATGTTGTTACTTTTCAGAATCCATTTGTTGTCTAGTGCAGGTTTTAATTGTTGATCTTTTCTATGTGGTTAATGATTGGTGGTTGCTAAAAGTAATGAAAATTGAGCACATTTTAGGTTTGTAGCAAGCTATTTTATTTCCTTCAGGAAGGTGCTTGGATTTCTTTTTATTTTTCCTCCCTCAAAATCTTCTTCTTCTTCTTCTTCTTCTTCTTCTTCTTCTTCTTCTTTTCTTATTTTTTATTTTTTTTTAAGGAACCCTGGAAAGTCATTTAAGCACTCGAAAATGTTAATTCCCTTTCCTCCTTTGGGTACACCTTAGTGTACATGTTGACAAATCTTGTACATTGCTTCAATTCTTTATTTAATTTAGACAAAATATGTTATCACACAAATAAGTTCTTTTTTCATCTACAACAAATATTGTTTATTCTAAAATAGTTCAAATTTATATCTTTCAGTTTCATGCTTCATATTTCAAAGTGTGCTTAGTGAGGAGACAACACCAAAGGAAGAAAATTCTCGCCAACCTGTCCACTTTGAAAGGTTTGTGAGAGGGAAAGGAAAAGCAAGTTTTATGTCAACAATTCTTAGAAGAGAGGGAAGGCAAGCAATGGTTTGCTCAATCTACAAGCATTATTTGGTGAAAGCATTCCAGCCCAGTTTCCTCCTTGAAATAGTTTTTCAACCATGAATTTCTCTTCTTCAAAACAATGCTCCTCACCAAATGCCCTTCCTTGGGTTGGGGCAATACAACAATGAGTAGTTGCTTTAAGGATGCCAACTTGTCAAGAGTACGATGCTGGTCAAGATGGAGCTAGGAACCAGTGTATACTTTCCTGGGGCTTGCCTTGCTTCATCATTCATAAATTGGGCTAGTGTCCGAAAAGAAGCCAACCCAACCTCTCTAGCTTTTGATGGTCATTTGTTGCTCCATAGGATCACATGACAACACTGTTGTAATCTAATTATTATCATTATTTTTTTGTTTTTATTAATTTATTCTCATTAAATTTTTTAATAAGAATAGAAGAAGTAGTATTATTAAAACAAATATCGAAGCAATGTTTTATTGATGCTTCTCTTTCAAAAACCTATATATGTTAAGCCTGTTGATATGGTTGTGCCAACAAAATTAGTGCACATTTGGCAATTGAAAATCGTTGGATTTCCACAAGCTTGTTCAAAATTAGTGACCACGGGGTGGAAAGAAAGTCTCAAAGAGACATGTTTGAATACATTTACCATATTTAATTATATATTTTTTTCTTTAGTTCTTCAAGCTAACTACTTACGCATACTGTAACCATGTATAAAGGTTGCAAAAAAATACAAAGCATACACAATAAGCAATCCAAGTACTACGTAATCACTACCAGCTACAACTTTTTTGAATGTTGCAATTGGCTAGATACCAAATTCCCAACTTTTCTTCTTTCAACTCCTTCCACAATTTGCTAGATACCAAAGTTTAACTTTTTTGAGTGTTGTGAGAACATCTTTCATGTTCATCCTCTCCTCGAATGATTCTGCAGAGCAACTCAAAGCCAATTCCATGATGGATGATACACACTGCAGTACAACTGCAGTGAGGTGTTCTTCCTCTGGCTTAAGCAAGTTAGCATCTATAACATGAGAGATTGCATTTGGTAGTGACTCCCTCACCCAATGTTTCATCGTCATGTCTTCAAAAAACATTTCATTAGTAGGCTTCACTCTTGTGAATGTTTCCATAAGCAAGATTCCATAACTATAAATATCACAGCTTGTGGATACTAATCCTTCTAATCCAAACTCTACATACAATCAAAAGAAATATCATGTTGTCAATAAAATTATAGAATTTTGGTGGTGGAAAGTTGGCATGTATCGATGGTTGGATTCATGGCGTGCTAAAGGATAGTAGTATTGGAGGGGCATGCAATGGTGGCATGTGTTGGATGGGTGAGTTGTTTTGGGAAAGAAGGGTATGCGGTGGTGGTCGTGTGGAAAAAAAGAGTAATTTTGTTATTTGGTATTATTGTTAAATTTGACAAATGAAAAATATAATGTGTAAAGGCAAAAAAGTAATTTACTTATTAAAGTTGACATTGTTAATTTTTTTATTATTGAAAGGGAGGTTGATATAATTATATTGAAATTGCAAAATTTACTGTATTTTTATCATTTTTCAATGGAGATCGGTGTAATTTACCATTTAGAGAATTAGCTCATTGTCAACAAAATCATAAAAATTTCTATGAAAATTAAATTTAAAATTTTGTGCTATAATATGAAAAGTGCATGTCTATATAAATTGGAAACATATATAAAATAAAAAAAAACACAAAAATATGAAAATATAAATTAAAATTTAGAAGTCACCTGGTGCAATATACCCAAATGTTGCTATGGTCTTTGTACGTATGACACTCTCCCCCAAATCTAATAACTTTGCAATGCCAAAATCACTCACATGTGCAACCATATCATCATCTAGCAGGATGTTGCTCGGTTTCAAATCACAGTGAACCAAGGACATTGAATAATCATGGTGAAGATATTCCAAAGCACATGCAACATCTATCATTATGTCTAATCTCTGCAACATATCTAAGAAATAGTTGTAAGAATACAACCACTTTTCAAGACTCCCATTAGGCATATACTCAAGTACTAGAGCTTTGAAATCAAGGTTCGAGCAACTGCTAATGACCTTAGTAAGATTGCGATGACGAATGTTTCGCATTATCTCGCATTCTATGTCAAAACTCCTGAATGCAGCTTCTACTTGCAAGTTGAATACCTTTACAGCCAAAATTGTGGTATCTTCAAGGATAGCTTTGTAGACAGAACCAAAACTCCCCATACCAAGCAAGTTGCTATCACTAAACCCGTTAGTTGCTCGAAAAATCTGTTGGTATGTGATTCTTGGAGGTGTTATTGTTGGTAAGAGATCAACATTGGATGGAGTTTTATTTTTTCTTCGACATTTTATGAACAAAAACACAAAGGTCGTAGCAAGCAGTATGGATGCAATAGGTAACAAAATATATAAAGCTAGAACCACTCTTTTTTCCCTCAGATGATGAAAGGAACTAGTATGGCATGGTGGGACTTGAAACTTTGGTGCACCGCATAATGCTTCATTCGACATGAAAGATTGAATGGTGAAGTTTGCAAAAGGTCCCCCATTTGGAATTTGTCCTCTTAACTTATTGAAAGAAATGTTGAGATATGAAAGATGAGACAGTGTCTCTAAGGACTTGGGGATCACATCAGAGAGGTCATTATAGGATAGATCTAAGAATTCCAAGCTCACCATGCTGCCAAATGAGTCAGGTATAGATCCTTGTAACTTGTTGTGCGCCAATTAAAGAGTAACCAAGTTTTGCAAACCTATAATTGTACTTGGGATTTTGCCTGTGAATTGGTTCATTGAAAAATCTATTAGTGTTGCAACTTTGAAACTCCCAAGTTGTGATGGCAGATTGCCATTTAAAGAATTCGAGGACAGGTTAATTTTCAAGATATCTTTAAGATTGCCCAACCTTGTAGGTATGACGAAAGTTAGTTTGTTGAAATTGAGGTAGAGATATCTTAGAGATGTAATATTCCCTAAGCATTCAGGAATCAATCCAAAAAGTTCATTTTGGTTCAATCGTAGATCACCCATGTTCTTGAGTTGACATATATCATCTGGAATGGACCCTTGCAGTCTGTTGTTGGAAAGATCCAATATTTGAAGCTTTCCCAACGCTTTAATTGTAGAGGGAATGAATCCGGTCAAACCATTTTGTTGCAGATTCAAGAATGCCAAATTGCTTATATTACCAATTTCACTAGGAATGTTACCTTTGATTCCACAAGAATCTGCGCGAATGTTCTCAAGGGAAGTAGAGAGATTTCCAATAGTTGTCGGAAGAATGCCGTCCAGAGGATTATCATTTATCCACAATACTTTTAAATCTTTGCAATTTACCAAGGAAGTGAGGAAGCTCAATTCTGGAGAGGAAGAAGATGACCCCACTTGTCAAATTATTTCCTAGCAAGCTGAGAAATTGGAGTAGTCGTAAATTGCCAAGCAATTTCGGAATTGAACCCATAAATGCATTGTTACCAAGGTCTAAAAACGTGAGTTTAGAAGCATTTGAAATTGACTCGGGAATAATTCCAGTGAGTTTATTTGCTCCAAGATAGAGTTGACTAAGATTGGGTAGCCAAAGCCCTATAGTTGATGGAAGATTACTAGACAAGTTATTTCTCGTAAGCGACATATCCTGAAGTGATGAGATATTAAAAATTGATGTTGGAATGGCACCCATTAAGTTGTTAAGAGAAAGTGTTAGCTCTATCACATTTGGAAGCTCACCAATCTCTTTTGGTATCAGACCTGCCAAAATGTATAAACATAGAAACTTGAAGGAAAAAAAAAATCAATGGAAACCAATTTTTTAACCCAAATAATAATAATAATAATAATAATAATAATAATAATAATAATAATAATAATAATAATCTTCACATTGGTAACTAACATCAAGACAAAATATTCTAACTTGCACAATTGACATCATCTTTTTTTCTTTCTCTTGGTGAAGTTATACCTACTGCTAATGGTTGCATTCACATAACTTGACATTGTAGGAGTACCTATTAGTATTTTCCATGTACTACATAGCCAATTTAGAAGACCATATGTAGATGAGAAACCTTTTGATTCCTAATTGACAATTCAAGATGCCTAAATATTATGGAAGGACCATGTAATTCAATGTTCAATTTTGTAACATATAAATATGACAAGAAGTTATAAACGGTGCAAGATGAAAAATAAGGATAAATTACACTAATATTTCCTTATGTTTGAAGAAAATATAGCAAATTCATAGTTTTTGCATAATTACACCGAATTCTTTTTTAATAAAGTTAAAGAGATCAAAACTAATGTAGATGCTGTAAAGATACAAGAATAATCAAGATAAAATAAATATTTCTATATAAAAGAGATGACAATATGTCTAAATAATTACTAATGAAAAGGGGGTTAAGTGTTATATAATCCTGAAGGCACCCTAGTTAATTATATCAAACTTATAGGGTTTATTTTATTTTTTTCAAATCTTAGATGAGGTCAGTGTAATTTATCCAAAAAAAAATTCCACTCGTGTAATATATCCCAAAAAAAGAAAAAAAGAACAAGAAAAGAACAATAAAAAAAGAAAAAGAAAAAGAAAAGCTCTACTCAAAATGTACCCTATTCGGTTTCAATTTTACAATTCATTTTTTTTTTTAAAAAAAATAGAGGAATTAGTTTGACAAAAATAAACTGCAAAAATATATTTTTGAATATCTAAAAATTATTTTTACCTTAAAAAAAAATTTAAAAATATATGAATTGATGAGTGTTTTGTATTTATTATGATTTTTTCACTAAATTAGTTATAGGTTTTTTGAAAAAAAAATAGAATTTTTTATTTTAAAAAAAATCAATCCAAATAGAGTTGAATCTTCACTTCAATTGGAACAAGTGCAATACCTTATGTCATGCATGAAAATAAATAAATAATTAAAAAATAATTTTTAAAATTTAATAATTACATAAAAATTTGTTTAAAATATGTAGAAAAAAGAATTTAGAGTTGACTAAATTTTAACTATTTTCATTCAAGTTACGCCTAAGAGTAGTTAAAAAAATTAAGAAATTTTATTAATGTCTTGAAGCTCATATAGTCTTTCAGATAAAAGTGATTTTTACTTAATATATAATACAGATTAGGAGAATTAAGATTTAGTTAGTCGTAGAATGAGAAAAGAGTTGATCATCATAAATGAAAATATTATGGAGGGTAAAAGACTTAAATTGACATTGAATAAGAATAGTAAACAAATATATGAATTTGTTTAAATCATTTGAGAATATAACTTTTGACAGAGCATAATGGAGAGAAAAAAAATTCACATATCTTTTAGATAAAAGTGATTTTTACTTAATATATAATACAGATTAGGAGAATTAAGATTTAGTTAGTCGTAGCATGAGAAAAGAGTTGATCATCATAAATGAAAATATTATGGAGGGTAAAAGACTTAAATTGACATTGAATAAGAATAGTAAACAAATATATGAATTTGTTTAAATCATTTGAGAATATAACTTTTGACAGAGCATAATGGAGAGAAAAAAAATTCACATAGCCAATCTCAATTGATTGGGACACAAGAATTAGGTCTTGTTTGGCATACTCTAAAATAACACATGTTATTTTAACACATTATAGCGATTCGAGTTTCAGACCCGACTCATTTGATATTCTGGACTCAGCTTTCATGGCTCTGTATTGTTGTTCTTGTTTTATTCCTCTTCCCCCTCATTGATTTTGGCTATTGGGTTGTATTGGTTGCATCTGAAATAGGTTGGTAGCTTGGTTTTCAAACTTTTGTTACCAAGAGTTTTGGTCCTCCACTCGAGCGTCACTTGATGCGCTCGAGCGGGCTTTGTGAACTCTCAGTACTTTTGCAAGCCTACAAAACTAGAAGGAAAGGGTATCTTAAGCTCGAGCGGTCTCGGCTCGAGCGGCCTTTCTTGCGCTCGAGCGCTGGTCTGCTATCTGCAAAACTACTAGAAGTGTGTATTTTGCACTCGAGTGAGACTTCTTGTGCACGAGCAGAAGAACTTATTATGTCTGACACTCGAGCGTCACTTCTTGCGCTTGAACGGACTATGCGTATATCAGTTTGTAAAAAGGTCATTTTTCATCACTTTTTCATATCTATCTCTCACTAAACATTTCAAAAATCCTAGATCTAGAGCCTCTCTATCTAAACTCACACTCTCTACATTTTCACCTAGATTTGGTGGTTTCTCTACCCATGTGCCTTTGTTAAAAAGGTAAAGCATCTTGAGAGCTACGTTCTCATCCGAATAGAGTTGAGTTTCGGCTCCATCCGAGTTTGGTCCTTGCTTACTCGTCTTCTAGCTTTAAGATCGGGACTTTCTACACTCTTCTATACTTCTTAACTTAGTTATTTGTTGATGTGTAAGAAATGTTGGAATTTGGGATGATTTTGAACAAACTTAGGGTTTTGGTTTAAAATCAAAAGAGGGGTTTTCAAGAGTATGCAGTAAAAATGGTTATTGGAGTAGATGTGAGGTTGTGTTGTAGTAAATTTGTTGATTTTGATACTTGGGGTGAAATTTGGAAAAAAATGGAGTTTTTTCCTAAAATGTCTCAAATAATTATTTTATATAAATAAATGAAATTGGTACTGGGAATGTGAAATTAGATAGGTGTTTATATAAATGGTGAAGTTGGATATGTATTACGTCTCACCTATGGAAATTTTGATAATTTATCTGTCATGGAGATTGTATATCTGTTTAGAAATATTTATTTTAGGCTATCAGAGAAGGATAGCTATGATTGTTATAGAAATTGTATGAGGATTAGGTGAATTGAAACTAATCTCTTATCTATTGTCATTGAATATGGTTGTTTCTTTAATACATTGTAAATGTATGATGTTTAGGAGAAAAAATGGGATGTACTCCATGTTTGGGAGAAGAAAGGGAATGGATTCCATTAAATTAAGTTGGCCTATGTGTCCAGAGTGAAAGTCCAGAAAAAAGCGCGTATACATGGTGTTGATTCCCTCGGACGAAATTTTCATAAAATGGAAAATAGAAGTGTTTGTATAATGGTTGTGTTGGTTAAAGACCTATTGAGTTGTACCCTCAGTTTGGTTGTCCGAATGAAATGGAAATGACTTATGAATTGAGATAATATGGATTGAGATATAAAGCTTGGCGTAATGTGGTTTTGTAAAAGAGTTGTAAGTGATTTGATCATGAGCATCGTGCATGCATATTATATTTATATCTTTGTTAAAATTCATACATTGTGTTAGATTATCTCTACTGGGCTTTAACTCACCCTACTTGGGAAAATTATTGTCAGGTGCTGGTGATATGCCTCCACTAAGGACTTAGCTTGGAAGACTGTGGAGCTGAAGGCTCAATTTTATTTATTTTGTATTAAATTTTTGTACAAGCCTATGGCTTTATTTTTATTGAGCTTACGACTCACTTTTGATGTATCCAAGTCTTGACTTGGAAAGGTGTAAGGCTTTAGGGCATATGATTATTTGTTTAGCTTTTATTACATTATTGTGGTTTGGTAACGCATGTTGTAGATTTAGGGTGTCCTATTTATGAGTGTATATCGCATGTGTCATCTTTTTGTACAATCAAATCTCATGTAATAGAAGGATACTTTACTCTGGTTTATACTGTTATTTACTTATTGTTTGGATTGTTTATTGTATTTATTTCGGGGCATTATACACATTATCTTATTTGGGTCACAATCATCTTATTTGTGCCACATCACCTCTTATTTGGATCACGTCGCCTCTTTACCACATCACTTCAACCCCAATTCACATTTTATATTTTTTTCGTAAAGAGTTAAAAAGTATACTAGTCTGGCACTTCCCAAACAACCTTTTAATTCAATTTATTCATGATTATAATGCTATTATATTTCTATGTTTAAAGAAAAATGATGTATAAATCCAATTTTTAGACTTACTTTGATGATGGGATTGCGTTATTTATTTTATTTTCCTCATATTTTGGATTATTTTTTGCTCTCTTATGTTGGTTTGGAGATGGTATGAGAGATGAGACTTGTACTATAAATGGTTGACTTATGCTATGGATGGATGGAAAATTCTATGGTACACATATGTAAGTTATAATATTTGTAAGTTTGATTATTACAAATGATATAATTCAATATTCTGGGAGTTGTAACTAAAAAAGATTTGAATTATAACTGAATATCACATAAGGTATAACTAAACAACTCTCAGATCATAATTAAAATTTTGTCATAACTAATATCACAATGTGTCATAACTAACAACACAGTAAATTATAACCACTGACTCAAAAATAGTAACTAAAGGTGTATATCGTGCACACCCTAATTTCCCTAGAGGACTTGGGTTAGATAATTATATGCCTTGCCCAAATGAGTTGGTAATCAATGCATATAATCCTATGGGACACATCTTATCACAATTTAGCATAATTTTATCATAAAATTTTATAGCACCAACCACAAAATGCATAACCTCGCTACAAATTAGCTTAAGAAAAGATATCGTAACCTAACCACACACTTTTGTTATATGAACCACAAAATTTTGTACATTTTGTTACGCTAATTTGTATTGAGATTACAAATTTTGTGATTAACATCATGAAATTTTGTGGTAAAATTATACCATTTGTAATAAGATGCATTTGGTACACACCTTACACCATAGGATTTCCCAAGCTTGTAGGGCATATATGTAGCTTGGAAATCATATGATGTATTGCTATAACAACCCAACTTTTGGGTGGAGTGAGAGGTTGTTCAAACCCAAGTTCAAGTTGTGTTGAGAGTTGTCCAAGTTCGGATTAAAAATTATGTTAGTCGGTAAAAGTACAATATTTACCTACTAATTTTTTTTAGTCGGGGTATATTAATTTTTGGCGACTAAAAAAAAAATTAGTCGCTAAAAATCTCACAACTGGCGACTATAAAAATTTAGTTGCTAAATTTGCCACAATTGGCGACTAAAAAAATATTTTTGTTGCTGTATATATAGTTTTGGCAACTAAAATAATTTAGTTGCTAAAAGAAAAAGAAAAATTTATCTTTTACCTTTCGCGACCAAAAGTTTGGTCGGCAAAACCTTAATTTCAGCGACTAAAAAATAATTTGGTCGCGGTATATATAGTTTTGGCAACTAAAATATTTTCGTCGCTGAAAGAAAAATAAAAATTTATTTTTTTACATTTCGCGACCAAAAGTTTGGTTAGCAAAACCTTAATTTCAGCGACTAAAAATTATTTTGGACGCGGTATATATAGTTTTGGCAACTAAAATATTTTCGTCGCTGAAAGAAAAATAAAAATTTATTTTTTATTTTTCGCGACCAAAAGGTTGGTCGGCAAAACCTCAATTTCAGCGACTAAAAAATAATTTGGTCGCGGTATATATAGTTTTGGCAACTAAAATATTTTCGTCGCTGAAAGAAAAATAAAAAAATATTTTTTATTTTTCGCGACCAAAAGGTTGGTCGGCAAAACCTCAATTTCAGCGACTAAAAAATAATTTGGTCGCGGTATATATAGTTTTGGCAACTAAAATATTTTCGTCGCTGAAAGAAAAATAAAAATTTCTTTTTTACCTTTCGCGACCAAAAGGTTGGTCGGCAAAACCTCAATTTCAGCGACTAAAAAATAATTTGGTCGCGGTATATATAGTTTTGGCAACTAAAATATTTTCGTCGCTGAAAGAAAAATAAAAATTTCTTTTTTACCTTTCGCGACCAAAAGGTTGGTCGGCAAAACCTCAATTTCAGCGACTAAAAAATAATTTGGTCGCGGTATATATAGTTTTGGCAACTAAAATATTTTCGTCGCTGAAAGAAAAATAAAAATTTCTTTTTTACCTTTCGCGACCAAAAGGTTGGTCGGCAAAACCTCAATTTCAGCGACTAAAAAATAATTTGGTCGCGGTATATATAGTTTTGGCAACTAAAATATTTTCGTCGCTGAAAGAAAAATAAAAATTTCTTTTTTACCTTTCGCGACCAAAAGGTTGGTCGGCAAAACCTCAATTTCAGCGACTAAAAAATAATTTGGTCGCGGTATATATAGTTTTGGCAACTAAAATATTTTCGTCGCTGAAAGAAAAATAAAAATTTATTTTTTATTTTTCGCGACCAAAAGGTTGGTCGGCAAAACCTTAATTTCAGCGACTAAAAAATAATTTGGTCGCGGTATATATAGTTTTGGCAACTAAAATTGGGAGTCCTAACTAAAAAAAAAAAAAATTGAGTAATAACTAAATATTACATGAGGTATAACCAAACAATTCTTGGATCATAATTAAAATTTTGTCATAACTAATATCACAATGTGTCATAACTAACAACACAGTAAATTATAACCACTGACTCAAAAATCGTAACTAAAGGTGTATATCGTGCACACCCTAATTTCCCTAGAGGACTTGGGTTAGATAATTATATGCCTTGCCCAAATGAGTTGGTAATCAATGCATATAATCCTATGGGACACATCTTATCACAATTTAGCATAATTTTATCATAAAATTTTATAGCACCAACCACAAAATGCATAACCTCGCTACAAATTAGCTTAAGAAAAGATATCGTAACCTAACCACACACTTTTGTTATATGAACCACAAAATTTTGTACATTTTGTTACGCTAATTTGTATTGAGATTACAAATTTTGTGATTAACATCATGAAATTTTGTGGTAAAATTATACCATTTGTAATAAGATGCATTTGGTACACACCTTACACCATAGGATTTCCCAAGCTTGTAGGGCATATATGTAGCTTGGAAATCATATGATGTATTGCTATAACAACCCAACTTTTGGGTGGAGTGAGAGGTTGTTCAAACCCAAGTTCAAGTTGTGTTGAGAGTTGTCCAAGTCCGGATTGTAATCCGAGATTGTCTTCCCAAGTCCAATCCAAATTAAACCTGAATTATTCAAATTGCACATAAATTTTATTTGTTTTTTTTTTTCTTTCTTTTTTTTTAGTGCAGCTAAGTTATTTAATTTGTTAAAATTAGACTCTATTTACATTTGTTTTATAAAATCATTAATAATATAAAAACAAATAATTTATTATATAATGTAAGAAAAATGCTGCTATAGTGGTCTTTACAAGTTATGAGTGATAAAATATTTATTTTTGTGTTGTGTTAATTGTGTGTATAATATATATTCAATATGATCTAACGATCTAAATTACTTTAATATAATATGTATATATATAATTCGTGCTTCTGGTTGGTCGAGTTGTTTGATGTCTTTGCCCAAACTCATCTAAATTTAATTCGGGCTTCTAAATTTTCATCCAAACCCATACTGAATTCAAAAATATTTTGTTTAAGTCCTAAAAGAATTCAAGTTGAGCTCAGGTTGTTCGGATTGAGCCGACCCAAGTTACCCTCCTAAACTTAATTCTTATAATTTGAAGAAATTAGAAAAGTTTTTGAGGACATTAGGATTGTGTTTGAATTATGAATTGAGATAAAGATTTGAAAATAAAAAATAAAAAGATGAAGACAACATGAATGAAATATAAGTTAAATATTTATTTTCTATTTTTTTAAATTTTTACTAAATTTATGATTCCAGATACAACGTAGCAAAAAAAGGCAAGTAGTATGCCCATTCCCTACCCAAAGTCAGCAACTAAAGTTTGAGAGATGGACGGGTTACCTGTCAAGTTATTTTCTGAAATACTAAATACTGAAAGGGAGGTACAGTTGCCGATTGCCCTTGGCAGACTTACCAAATAAATTATTGGTGTATAGAATAAGCCCTTTCAATGAAGAGATGTTAAAGATGGAAGATGGTATGAGACCAGTGACGTTAGCAGATTCCATACCTAACATCTCCAAACTATGTAGACTACCTAGTTCTTGTGGAATTTCGCCTGCAAAATAATAAAATAATTTACGAATTGTACCTAGCTACCAAGTGTGTTGTGTAGTATCAACATACATGCATTAAAATAAGGTTGCTTTTCAAATGGGTAGGCAAACATGTAGGTTGCACTATTGGATAGGCAAATGATGTGCATATATACTCCTCGTGCTTAAATTTTAGTAATTCTTTTTTAATAATATTTTTGAATCTTGAATTTGTTAAAATAAAGAAAAACAATTACTTCTTCAATTTTTATGGATAACCAAACCCCCCCCCCCCTCCCCCCCCCCAAAAAAAAAATCCATTTTCTTTTTATTTTTCTAAGGCAGCCAAAAGGTAGAAAGAAATTTAATTGTATTGAATTGATGCCACATAAAATTTTAAAGTCCACTGTTTAAATCAATCAAAAATTGTAATAAGAATCGGGTGAAGGGATTTGCTAAAAAAAATTAGTACTTTTGTTTATTCTATTTTCTCTTCCATTTCTTTTTTATCCATTAATCTCTTCACAAATTTAATATTCAAATATACTTTATTGTTTTCCAAATCAATAATTTTATGATAATCATATTTATCTATCAAATTTTGTTTATTATTTTTAATGTTATTATTGCACTAATAACATATAAGAGTAGTACAACTCATTACTCCAACAAAATATAGTCGACATTATCATCAGGAGCGAGAAGGTGTATACATAAAATAAAAATAAAAAATTTGTGTTAATTTTAGTAAATTATTAATTGTAGATAATTTTTTATAAGGTGGCTCTATTTGCACCCCAAAAATTAAGCTGGACACCCCAATTTAATGAAACTATTTTATTAGTATTAAGTCCTTGTTTAAGGAGAAGGATTCTCTCCAGTCTAGGACGTTATTATTGGGCCCATGCGGCCCATTATATGTCTCATTTCGATGATCCGAACTGTTCAATATGTAGAACTCATCGAGTACTTCGTCTCTGCAAAACATCGTGTTGATCGAATATTAATAGTCTCTTGATCTAAATAAATTTTTTATAAACAATTTATTTTTAAAATCTTATTTACCATTAACAAAAATATAATCTGATCAAGGGGCTATCAATATCTGATCAACCTGATTTTTTGGATGGAACAAGTACTTGACGAAATCCACATATTGAACGGTTCAGATCATCGAACGGTTCAAATCATGCTAATCAGATATTGATAGTCCCTTGATCTAAATACATTTTCATGAACAATTTATTTTTAAAATCTTATTTACTGTTAACAAAAATATGATCTGATCAAGGGGTTATCGATGTTCGATCAACCTGATTTTTTGGACGGAAGAAGTACTCGACGAGATCTACGCATTCAACGGTTCAAATCATCGAAATGAGACTTGTGGTGACCCCATGGACCTAACAATACTGTTCAGTCCACAAAGTGGACTGGAGAGAATCCTTTCCCCTTATTTAAAATAACCAAAAAGTACTTGACATCGAAAAAATTGTAAATCAAAGTGTTTTAGACATCTTATTCATTATCAGCTCCAATATTTTTTTTTTCTCTCTTCTCTTCTTACTCTCTTCACTTCGGGTCTTCATACCTAACCCTATTTACTTGAATCTATCATTCTTGCATTCTATTTTACATTGAAATCAACAATGGACAATAAAAAAAATGTTTTCAAGCAATTTTCTATAGATAAAGTAAGTTTTCATTTGATGGTTATCGTTTTTTGTTGTTTGGTTTACAGAATTGATTCAGAAATTCAGTATTGAACAAATTAGGCTTATTCAGAAACTTATTTCTAAACAAAATTCATATATTTAGCAACGTGTTTCCGAAATAATTGTCATTGTTAAATAGTTTCTATCCGAACAAGTTGTCTATGATCGGCTTTGTTTTTTCTGAACATTTAATTTTCTAACCTTTTCACACTCCGATTTCAAAAAAAAAAAAAACTATCTGGTATAATGTTCAGCACTGAGCATCCGAAGAAACTTCATAGGTTCGAAATTAAGTATCCGGATATATATATATATATATAATTTGTCCAGCACTAAGTATCCAGATGAAAATGGTGCAACCAATTTTCTATTTTTCAGAACTGAGTATTCGAACATATTTCATTTGTTCAGCACTAAATATCCGAATAAACTTCATAGTTTCGGACTTAAATTTCCGGACATATAGTAGGTATTAGACTTGAGGTGTAGAAGGTAGAATTTCTAAACTTTTTTTTTTTTTTTTAATTTTAAGGGTTATAATAGGTATTATTTGGGGTGCCTAAACAAATAAATAAATATTTAAATTTTAAATTGGGGTGTTCCAAGTAATGGGGTGCCCAACCTAATTTTTGGAATGCATTCAGAATTACCTTTTTTTAGATAAGCGTTGTGAAAGAAGTAGTTATTGAAGCAACACTTAGATACTTGCAATGAAGAAGAGGTTGGTGGTTCAACACATAAACGTTTTGAATTATTAACTAATTCTTAGCATATAATAAGCATTTTGGGAGAAATATTTCATGAAGAAAAAAAAAATCTAACAAGTTTTTTTTTTTATATCTATTTTATAATCGAAAGTTTTGAATTATTAAATAGATATCAGAATATAATCAATTAAATTATTGTTTTAAGCATTTTATTAGTTAATAAAACATACTAATTAAAAAGCTGACAAATCATTTGAATTTTAAAATTAACAAATGAGGTGATATGTACTAGTTATATAAACAAAATTAACTTGGTAAAATTGATAGTATTAACTAACATAAGGGATAATAAATAGTCAAAACTTTATTATAAATATTCATGTTAACATGAATATTGATAAAATGTAAGGGGTAATAAATAATTTTCAAAAATTTGGAGGGGGTCTCTTCCTTACCTTATCGTTTCGCCCCTAGTCATCCAACAATTATTATTATTTTCAAAAAAATGCAACAACTTATGACCAAATCAGGCATAACTAAAGATTTTATCGATGTAACTAAAATAAAAACTATAATAAATCATAACTAATATATTACAATAAGTTATAATCAAGCCATAAGTAAGCATTATAACCAAATATCACGTGCGACATAATTAAAATCTCTTCGGTCATTAACAAAATAAAATTATAAGAGGTCATAATTAACACCATAATAAATTATAACTAAAATATAATCAATATCATAATAAGACAAAGGTCATGATTGTGAATATGATATACACCAAAAAAAAGAAAACAGAAAAAAGATTTATATTATGAAATTTCTCAAATGTTCTTACTTTGAATATATATCAAACGCAAACCAAGCTAATAACAAGTGAGAATGAATCATACCTTTAAAGATATTACCACCAAGATATAAAATCTGAAGAAAAGTCAAATTTCCAATTGCCTTTGGAATGAAACCACTGAATTTATTGTAAGACAATGATAAGATTTGGAGCTCTCTGCATTCACCTAGAGTTGATGGAATTTGGCCATCAAACTCATTCCAAGAAAGAGCAAGAATTTCAAGTTTAGGAAGAAAAACACACAAATCCTTCAGAAGACTACCAGACAAATTATTAAATGCCATGCGCAACGTCTTCAGTTTAGGAAGATGACCAATCTCTTCAAGAACTCTTCCCTCTAGAAAATTGGACTTTAAATTGAGATACTCTAATGTTGATATGTTGCCAATGGAAGGTGGAACTGAACCAGTGAATCTGTTGTTTTCGAGGCGCAAGTATTGAAGCTTGGGTAAGTTTCCAAACCATGACGGAACACCTCCACCGAAATTGTTGAAACCAAAGTCGACAACATTTAGGCAATGCAATCGAGCCAACTCACTGGGAAGATGACCATGGAAAGTGTTGCTGGTGATGTTGAAGTAGGATAGAAATGAGAGGTTTCCAATGTGGGGTGGGATGGTGCCTCCAATACCCATGTTTGGGAGATTCAAGGCCACCACTCTGTAGTGGCGCTTGCCGCAAGAGACACCAATCCAGTCACAAACAGAGGTGGCTGAGGACCAGTTAGTTGCCAGTATGTGGTCAGGATGGTCGAAAGTGATATAGGATTTGAAAGCTAAAAGAGCAGATTGATCAGTGGTGGAGTTGGGAACATTCATAGCCAAACAGGGTAAGAAACAATACTGTGCCAAGAACACTAGTACGACTACTAGTGCAGTTAACCAAGTTTTCTCCATGAAGGCTGAGTGGGATGTATAACTTGATAATGAACGGAGTCTAGTATATATAAAGGCAAATTATATTCATAGTTTCTACATTTTACTTTTTGTGTTATTGTCTATCACATTTTAATTGGCTGAATTTTGATGTTTAATTTAAATTTTGTATTAATTTAGTTCAATTGATTACCCTGTTCACCTTGTTAGGTTTTAGAAAATTGATTTTTTTTTTTGGTTGTTTTGAGTCCAAAAAATTATATTTTAATATTTTTTTATTTTTTAGATGCGTCTAAAAAAGTATAAGATTTATGAATTTTTTTTAAAAAAATTCATCGAATACAAATGTACGGGGAAGAAATAATTTTCCTCGTATAATCCTATTGACTAAGTCTGCGCTCCTCCGTACGACGTCGCTTTGTCACCTGAAAACACAAACGTGAGCTAGCCGGCGGGTGTGTGCCAGAAACCTGTCCGATGCCTAAGTCAGCAAACTTGACAAATAGACAAAGCTCAATGTATTCAGAAAGCAAAATTGTGTGTTGTGTTATGTTACCCCCTCCAAAGTGATGCTTGTGAGCTTTTATAGGTTTCGAGTGGCCCAATCCTAGTAGGACTTTTATTCCTCCATGCAGAGTCCTCCTAGGATTCATACTCCTAAAGGATAATGCTTATCCTTTTACACCCCCCCCCCACTGCTTAAACCAAGTGGGATGGTTTTTACCACGGCCGAACTACCATTTGACCGAAGTACCCACGGCTATGCACAGCCGCAGAATAAGCCGAACTATCATTGGTTCGGTTCTGTCTCTTGTTACACCTTATCTCGGTTCTTCCTTGTATGAACTATGGTGTGCTAGGACCGAGCTACCGAGTAGGAAGGTCCTGACCTATCTATCCAGAATACGTCAAGACCGGACTAACTCGGAGACCGGACTAACTCCAAGTTGTCCAGACCGAAGTAGCTTTACAATTCCTGAGCCGAAGTAACTTCATCTCTTTTGGTCGGAGTAACTTTATCTCTCTTGGACCGGAGTAACTTCTCGGCCCTTTTTACCCAGTCCTTCGTACTTTGGGCCATAAAGTCCACCTCATAGCTCGGCCCAATTTTCACCAAAAATTACCCTCTCAATTGCCCCTTAATTCCATCTGCACAGCATGATTGGGATTACCTGGTGACCAACCGAGCTAACTTTTTTAAGCCTTCCCAGCCGGGCTAAAAAACCCGTTAACCTTTCCAGCCGAGCTTACTTTACTCCAGGTTCCGCTTGTCCGGTCAAAACGTCTCTTCAATCACTGTGACTGTAACGCTTCACTTTCCATTGACACGTGGCAGGCTCTGATACGCTGTGGGCAGCTGTCACGCCGCCCTCGTACAGCGTAAAATTTGAACAGTTCCCACTTTTTTGCCTATCGTCTTTTTCACAAAACACCCCTTTCACTTTTGAATCACTCACCTTCTCTATTCATCTTCTTCTCTCTTTGTGCCTCTGTTTCTCCAGCCTCTGAGTTCCCTGAGCTCGTGTTCTTTGCTGGTGCTGTTGCTCCCCTCCTTCAGCTTCACCTTCTCCTGGTAAGCTTCAGAAAACCTGTTTTGTTTTTCTTCTTTCTGTTGTCTATGTTTTTGCAAAACATGCTTGTTCATTTTTGTTTTCGCTTCTGAACTTTCATGAAAAAACATTAGCAGAACTCATGCGTGTATGAACTATTCTGTAGAAAACTAGTCTTGAATCCAAGATCATGTAGCAACCGAACTAAGATACTGTTTGTCCTATATACTTTAGACAATAACCGAACTAGAACTTGTAGAAATAACAGTAGTTTCAGTAGGTTATCAACACTTGAATCACTCTAGCCGAGATAAACCCACCGAACGAAGTTTGTCTTTATTAAATAAGGAACCTCGGCCTTCAACCGAGCTAAGCCTTTGGGGCTAAGCTAGCTTTCCGAATTTCTAAACCAAACTCAGAAAGCTGCCCCTAGAGGTTCAACCGAAGTAACAAAACTCACAGTTCAACCGATTTAGGCCTTTAGGGCTAAACCAGCTTTCTTAGTTTTTTAGACCGAACTCAGAAAGCTGCCCCTAGACGATGAACCGGTCTAACAAAATTGTTTCCAAAGCCAGTATGCCGAGATGCCTGCCAAGATTTGGCTAATAAGAACCTTGCTCAAACCGAGCTACCAAGTATTTTGCTAAACCGAGATAGAACCCGTCCATAGAGCCGAAGTAGGACTCTTTTACGTTGCTTTTAAATTGTAGCACGGTCCATTGATCTGTGCTTAACCCCTCTGTTTTCTACTTTGCAGACTTAGGTTGCCCAGGCACTCCTCCGTGTGCTCAACCGAGCTATTGAGCACGCACCGGTCTAATTTATTTATAACTTATACGATAGATGGGGAAGTATAGATACCTAGTAAATACTCCGGGCGGCCTAGCCGAATTTAGGAAAGACTACCAAATACCTGATGACGTCCATCTGATCTTGGCTGAAAAAGACGTCATTCCCTGGGATAATGAAGGCTTCGTCCCCTTCACCCTTTTATCCATTATAAAAACCGGACTACGGTTTCCAGTCCAACCATTGATTTGCGAGTTTCTTAGGCAAACCAGACTATGCCCAACCCAACTATCTACCAACTCCTACTGCATCATTATGGGAATAGGCGAACTGAACCGTCAAGCCGGACTAAACCTTGGCCTGGCCGAAATCTTCCACCAATATTCCATTGGCTCAAAAGAGGATGGGTGGGTTTATTACCTTAGAATACGTCGCCGCCGAGAGAAGATAATAAAATATACACCGGACAAAGACTTAAACGACGACGATTGTTTCTGGGTCTCTGGGAACTTTGAGGATTTTCAAGCCCAGATTCCTGGCCGACCTATAAATTGGAAAAAAGGAGAGCCTGGTAATTTAACTTCGGTCTTCTTCCTTGCATTTTTTTATACTTCGGCTTTTTAATTTTTCAGCCGGATTAACAGTTGTCTTTTTTCGCAGATTTTGCCCACCTTCATTCCTTATATAGTTATCCAAACCTTGCAACTTTGCGAGCCGCATTACGATATCCTGAACGTAGTTGGGCCAAATTGCTGCAATTCGAGCCGACCTACTGATACAGTGGTCGCCGGAAAGCCAGAGTAACTGACTTTCTTCTTGAAGACGCCCTAGAACCGGACCCATCCTTGCCCGAGATTAGACTGATCCCACTTACAACTGAAGAGGAGATGGCAAAAAAGAACAGAGTCAGGGCGCTTTTAACTGAGACAACCAGGCCCGAAATATTGCCACCAAGCCAATCGCAGCCTGCTGTTGTGGCCCTCCCTTCTCAACAGTCGTCCTCTTCCCGCCGAACCAAGCGCGCCCAGAATGCCGAAACCGAACAAAGTTTGGTTGACGAAGAAGAAACTGCTCTTCCACCAAGCCTGCCACCGAGCCCCCAACCGGAGCCTTCCGACCGAACTACCACTACCTGGGTGCCAAAACGTTCCTTCAACAACCTAGATATCCAAGACTCAGACTCGGTTGTTGCTGAGAAGGATCATCAGTTGGCCTTCAACCTGGCCAAGAGTGTGTGCCTCCCCAAAGATATGGAGCACCACCAAAAGCAATTGAACACCGAACTGAAGGCCATCCGGTCTTCAACAAAATCCATGATTCTGGTAAGTAACTTCGGCCGTCTTTCTATCTACTTTCTTTTTTCAACTTTTACTTCGACTAAAGGGAAATCTTTTGCTTTGTTAGGCCATTCAAAAAAACCACATCACTCATAGGAAAGTGCTAGAGCTTAAGAAAACTACAAGGCAAGCCGTGGCAGAAGCCGAAGTGAAGTCGGCCGAGCTAGAAGAGGTCAGAAAGCAAATGGCCGAGCTATAAGCTGAGAATGGCAGGCTGACCGGACTGGTTAGTTCGGCCGAAGCAGAGAAGCAGAAGGCTGCCATTGCTTTGAAGGACAAGTACCTACGCGAGCTGGTGAAGCTCGAAAGGAAGAAAGATGCCGAAATTTCCCAAGTGAAGGAGAGCGCAAAGGGAGCTGAAAAACAAGGCTACAAGAAGGCAGAGGACGCCTATGTCAAGCAGTGCGAAGCTGCCAAGGAGCTATTCTTTAAGTGCGGCTGGAGGGCAGCCGTTGAGAAGCTCGGTCATGATCCACAGACCAAGGTTTTCAACCCTCCAGCCTACTTCATACCGAACTCCCTTCTGGAGTATGCTAATGCCATGCAACAGCAGTTTCTTGAAGGCTCAGACTCTGATGAAGACTCTGCCTCTGAGGATACTCCGGTTGTGAATGTAGATCAAGCAGTTCGGTCGGAGCCCATGGTGGAAGATCTAACTATTGAACAACCAGGTGAAACCGTGGTTCCGACCGAAACCACTCTTGCGATTGAAAACGAGCTCCCGCCTGAAACCGGTCTTCATGTTGATGCCGATGCTGCCTTTGACGTCGAAATTGAAGATCTTTTCTCTTGAATTTGCACTTTTTCTCTTCTTTTTTTTTTTCCTTTTGTCTTTGTAACCGGGCTATCCCCCCTGTAATTACTTTTCAATGAATGAAAATTTTGCTTGAACTCTTATTCTGGTTTTGATGTGTGCTTGCCCTTGTAATGTCTTCTATTGTTCCAACTGCTATTCCGGTTTTAAATGGTTAAACTAACTATGCTTATCAGTCAACCACTCCTTAGCCGACATAAGTACTTCGGCTGAGGAGTACTCAGAGTTGGTTTAATCCAGCCAACCACCGTTCAGCCATACCCTTACTTCGGCTGAAGAATAATAGGAGTTGGTTTATTCCAGCTGACCACTCCTTAACCAACATAATTACTTCGGCTGAGGAGTACAATGAGTTGGTTTGTAGCCAACCATTCTTCAACCATACCCATACTTCGGCTGAAGAGTACCAAGAGTTGGTTTATTCCAGCCAACCACTCTTCAGCCATACTCATACTTCGTCTGAGGAGTACCAAGAGTTGGTTTATTCCAGCCAACCACTCTTCAGCCATACTCATACTTCGGCTGAGGAGTACAAAGAGTTGGTTTAATCCAGCCAACCACTCTTCAGCCATCCCCATACTT